GGCCTCGGGCTGCTCCGCCGCCCCCCCCGGACCTCCTCTGGCCGCTCGAGATGGCTGCGTGACCTGTCACCTGCTCCTTCCGCAGAACCCGGACATCGCCGTTACCGACAACGTGCTTTATTTCAAAGGTAGGCGCCTGGGTCTGTTTTACTTTTGCTCCCAAAGCGCGGGTGGGCGGGCGGCCCCGAGGGGTGCCGGGTGCCGCAGCGACGTGGCGGTTGGGGTCCCGTCGCTCTCCTCGGTGGAGACGCTTGAGCTCTGCTCTGGCGGGCGACTGCGGGAGGATCCCGAAACGCACCCGCCTACAATCCCGGCTCGCGTTCGAGCGCTCGTAATGACAGCAGCTCGTGTCTTATCTAACAAGAAAAAGAACAAGAAAAAAACAAGAAAAAGAACAAGAAAAAAACGCTTCCTGTATTTAAACGTCAGCGAAATTTCCCTGTCTTTGCTGCCTGCCTCTCTCACCTGAACGCTGGCGATAACCCGCAGCAATTTTCCTTCCACAAAGAGCTTGTTTGCAAGCGTTATCAAACTTCTGCATCGGGAACTAGCGCTCGATTTGAAAGGTAAAGCAGATCCTTCCTGAAGGGGGGTTTTGTTTTGGCCGAGCGGCTCCACGTTGCGGCACCGTGGAGTTGGCCGGTTTGCTGTCGAGGTCCTGCTGCTGACCCGCTGAAACTGCCTTTATCCAGGTTTTGAGCCGTTGCTTTTCTAAATGAAGATGCAGCGCCTAATAAATACTGACTCCTTGGTGAGCCGCAGCCAGGGCCATTTGATAGGGCATCGCTTCAAAACATGATCAGTCCAGGCTCAGTTGACAGCGTCTCCCTGTACAAGGGCGGAAGTTAAACTCGGCACGCAGGTTTTTGGAGCCCTTCCTGGCCCAAGCAGGAAACGAATGGATCGCCTTGCCTCCGGGAGGGGGGTTCGCACACCGCTCCTCCCCGGGCGCCCGCTCGTCGCTGCAGACCCCGGCTGCTCCGAAGGCCGTCCCGTGCGGGGGCTTTTCGGTAGGATTGACGTTAGGCACGAGCGGACGTTTCGGCCCCTTCAGTGGGGCTTGCGCGCCAACGTGTTTCTGTGTTATAACGTGTCCTCCGCAGGTGGGGTGCGTGGAGCTCGCTGGGCCCCCCGCGCTGATGGGTAATTCTTGTCTTTTAGCTCAGGGACATGGTGCCAAGGGGGACAACATCTACGAGTTTCAGATCGAGTTCCTAGAACCAGTCGAGCCTAAAGTAGGTATTTTTTCCTCTTTTAACTTCTACTTTTTCTTCGTAATTCTTGAAAAATACGAAAGCAAAATGGCTGTGCTTTAAAGTTCACGATGTGCTGTTTCACGTTCTCCTGGTGGCTCTATAACCACTGACAAACTAAATGCCATCTGTGGCTGTTCTTCATCCCTGTGCTCAGTCTCCATCCTGCCTTAATGCAAACCAGCTCACTGGAGTGAATGCTCATATGAGTAAGCTTTAATAAAACAAGGCTTTCCATTGATCATAGAAGTTATACAGAGGTTCAGCGCTGCTTCCCGAGCAAGGGAGGAGACCGTTCCCTCTGTGCAACACAGCAAGGGGCCAGAGGGTTGAATTTCTAGGGCTAATCCTCCAGAAATTGATGTTGAACTGTCGCTTCCCTGCAGAAAAGCGATGCAGGCAGTCAGTGACCACTGCTGTCAGATCTGCAGGGGGTTAGAGCAGGGCAGGAGCTCCAAGACTGGTTTAAACGCAGGAGCGGAGTGTTGAACTGCCCCAGACCCTTTCAGCGCCCCAGCTCCTGGCTCATCGGTGCTGAGAGCCAGCAGGTTTCTGCGTAGCTTCCTCCAGGTATTCGGTGGAAGACATTAATATCCCTCAGTTTCAGGATGCTGTTGCTGGTTTGTCGCCTCTCATGTAAAGCAGCAGCTGCCTGATCCGAAGCCTGGGGAGAGGTGCCTGCCACCTCCTACGCCCGTCCCCTGTGCTGGCAGGCTCCTGCTGTGCCGCAGGCCAGGCCTGGGAAGCAAGCCCTTGCCGCTACAAAGCCGCTTTCTTCCAAAAATGCCATCACTGAGTCACCTCAGAAGGGGCTGGGTGTCCGAAGCATGACATCGACCCCATGAAATCTGTGTAATTCCAGGTGGTCGGGACCGGGAAGTGTTGCAGCCCGGGTTTTCCTCTTTTAGCTTTGGCATGCACTGTGAGTGCTTCTCAGGTCTTGCTGGCACCAGGCTGGCCACCAGTGAGAGATGGAGCCTCTGACAGGCAAGGACCAAGTGTTAGTAGTAAGTTATAGCTGTAGCCTTCGAATGTCCTGGGAGCGCCTGGGTAGCCTTGACGGAGCAGCGCTAGCATCGCGTGTTCAGCTAAGAACGCCGTTCCTGGCTTTTCTGCTTCGGTTTCAGCTGCGTTTGAGAGGCAGCTTCGCGCAGAGTGGCCTGCTGTAGGCTCGAGGTGTGGAGGGCTCTGACGGTGGCAGGAAGGGTGAGCACCCAAGGAGATGGTGCTGAGCGCTGTAAGGGTGGAGAGAAGTTCGAGGCTGCCGTTATGCAGCCGGTGGCCGTGGTGGAGAGCCTTCCTGGGGCGGCAGTGACTGTGCTGCCAGGTTGACCAGCTGTGCCACCAGCTATTAGGGAAAGTTTGCCAGCAGTAGCAATGTCAGCTCACCGCTCTCTCCAAGTATCTCCAAACGGTGTTCGCCTTTCCTCTCACTGTAGCAGTTGCCACATGAGATCCCATTTTTTGGACACGTACCTGTGGCTGATGCTAGTGTTGTTTTTACCGCTGGCTAGAGGAAAAAGTGAGTGGTCTGAAGTTGTGGGTTTGACCTAGCAAGGCTAATGCCAGGGCCTGGGCTAGCTCTTTGTGGTGGGATGCAATGGCGCTGTATAGTCCAGGCAGGCTTTCAGGCTGGTTAAGCCCCACAGCCATCGCAGTTGTATTTTCAGCAGACTGGTATAGCTGTGAGCACTGGGCTGCTTCTACGGCATGGCTTGGGCAGCCGGGAGATGCCCGTGCTGCAGCTGTCCCCGTCATCCCTGTATCCTTGATGGAGAGCTCAGGGGAGCTCCCAGAGCTTGTGTCTCGGGGCTTCTGCTGATGTACGTTCCTGTGTCTGCCCTCAGCCCCGATACAAGGTGACTCAAAGGCAGCTGAACATCACCGTGCAGAAAAAAGAGAGTAACTGGTGGGAGCGACTCACCAAGCAAGAGCAGCGCCAGCTCTTCCTAGCTCCTGACTTCGATCGCTGGCTAGATGAGTCGGATGCTGAAATGGAACTCAGGGAGAAGGTCAGTCCTGCGGGCTCGTGCTGCCAGCTGCAAAGCGATAGCAGTTCCCTTGCGATGAACTTGTACCCTGGAGTTGTCTAGCACGCTGATTGTTAACTGCTATTTCATACAGGTCCCACGTGGAATTGGTTAAAAGACTCCAAATTCTAAGCAGAGGTCAGAGATAGGCGCGCTTCTGGTTTAAAAAGAGCAGCAGTCGCGATCTGAGCTGGCAGCCTGTACTCTAGTTTGGCGCCGGCCGGTGCTCGCTGCTGAACTTTGCACCCCGCTCCGTACGCCCTAGCAGTCCTGTGTCCTGAGCCATATGAGGATCATATCCATATGCCATAGCGAGACCCAGAGATGCCAGTCCTGGGCGCTGCTTGCCTGGAAAGCAGGCATTTCTAAGGCTGTACGCACGCAGACTGTCACAGTACTGCTTCCTGAGCCACCGGGCTGGCCCTGCCCTCGCGTTCCTGCTGCGTGGTCAGCTGCAGCAGCTTGCCACAGCGGGGAAGTGAAAGACCATCTTGGAACAGACTTGCACAGGCCGCGTTTCTGCGTAACTGCTTTACAGCGAATGCTGCCCCGTTCCCCTCCACGGCCTCTGGGCTCAGCGTGGGGGAGAAAAGGCCACTGCGCTGTCAAGAGAGCTCGGGCTGGGTGGTCTCGGTTCCCTTCAGGTCACTGGTGGGCCATGAAGTGTTTTAAGTAACAGTTCTGAGAAATAATGATGATTGAGGATTAACAGAGAAAACAACTGGTTTTATCACCATAACCACCACATTTCTAGAAGAAAATACATAGTAAAGGTGGGATAATTAGTTAACAGCCTCTAGCTTTCATAGTGCCGTTCTTTCTGGATGAGAAATATGCTCCATTTTATGGAGGTGAAAATTTAAACCCTCTAGCAACTGGCTGCTTATCTGAGTTTTAAACCCACTAGCTTTGCAGTAGGATGGTTAACAAATCACTTGCTAATTACAGTAACGCTCTTTAAAACCTTATCCCTCATCTTAAGGAAGAAGAAAAGATTAACAAAATGAAAATAGAATCCAGAGTCCCAAAAGACCGTAAGTAACCGTACCTTTCTAGTATGTGAAATGGGGTTTAGAAAACTTCTGTCGCTCTCCTGTGTGAACCTCAGCTCCTGTGGACCGATTTTGACTGGCTCGGTGCATCTTGGAGGGGAATCTTTGCATTATGAACCAATTAGAAATTCAATAAAACTGGACTGCAGTTCCTGAGGAATTTAAAAATCTTTCTAGCAAAAATTTAGTTCTGTCACACGATAGTAAAAGCAAGCAGAACCCACGATATACACAGCAACCCTCTTATCAAAATCTGTAGTTTCCCTTTCTCTTGTTAGCTGTATTGTCACGGAGAGCCTGGACAGCTGTACTCTTTGCAGGAGGGGTACCACTGTATTCTCACCTGATGCGTTTATTATTGATTGTAGCTTTCAAACACCTGAAGAAAGGATACTTAATCATGTATAATCTTGTTCAGTTTTTGGGATTCTCTTGGATTTTTGTGAACATGACAGTACGACTGTTCATCTTAGGAAAAGGCAAGTAATAAGTGCTATTTTATTCACATCGGGGTTTTTTTGTTTTGTTTTTAATGCTGTTTTTAATACTTTCTAAATGGTGAAATATAAAAGACCTATATAGGAAACAGTAAGTGCATCACTGAAACAAACAACAAAAGCTTCCCAGAAGTCATCGCAACGTCAAGGACAGGAATATACTCTCCTCTTGTAAATGACAGCTGCAGATTCAGATGACTGATACTCGCTGTACTCTGCCAAGATTTCGTTTAAAGAAATCAGTTGGAGGAAAATGTCTCACTTGCTGCGATATTAATATCAGTAATAGTAGTACTGAAAACATATTGACTAGAATATATTGGTTTTTGAAGATACTTCTCTTCATTCTGTTGAAGTCCAGAGCTTTTTTTTGGTAAAATTACTGCTGAAATAGCTCTTGATCCTTCTGTGTGTGATACAGAACATTTGAGCAATGCTTCTGACCTAACTGTGACTTCGAGATAAAACCAGTAACAAAGTTACATGTGTAATTATGCATAATTTTTTTTTTTTTCCAAATACAAATAGAACCCTGTTATCAAGAGCTGTGCTTTTCAGCCAGCTTCCTGGGCTTTAAAATTCATTTGTCCTTCACATGGTTTCCTGTGTCTTACAGATTCCTTCTATGATACATTTCACACGGTTGCTGACATGATGTATTTCTGTCAGACTCTGGCGTTCATGGAGATCCTGAATTCACTAGTGGGACTAGTCAGATCACCACTGATACCTGCTGTAATCCAGGTAATATTTTAAGATTCTTCTCCTTGCTCTTCCCCCGTTTAAAGTAAATCTGTATTTTACATACTGGTGTGTAGACCCTCCTAAAATGAGTGATACAACCTCACTAGCACTGCCATAGAGAATATCTTAAGAAGCAGGAATCCATGCTTTCCCAGACTTTGTTGTGGCAGGCTGTCTTGTCAGCTTCCATTGCCTAGGTGAGATACTTCAGGGCAACAAAAGGAAGAGGCAGCTGATGAAAGCAATGTGTTTTTGATTGGGTTCCAGTTCCCTTTTTATTCTGGTTGTTGCGCATAAAAGTGCAGCTAGACTAATTTATGACTGGGTCCCTTGGAATGGGCCTAAATACAGAGGGTCACAGCATCCAAAATGCGTGCTCAGTAGATGTTTCGGGCTTGAGGAGTGCTCGTGCTGCGTGCTTTTGACAGCAAGGACTTGTTCTCTCTTTTGAAGAATAGTGTGACTACTTACTCCTTAATTTTTTTACACAGGTATTTGGAAGATTCTTTATTTTGTTTGTTGTCCTTGGAAGTTTAGAGGAAATGCAGAACAAAGCTGTGGTGTTCTTCATATTTTATTTCTGGAGTATCATTGAGCTGTTCAGGTTTGTGGGCTTTTCCTCTAGCAGGTGTGCACAGAACAGTTTGGTCCTTCCCAAGAACTCTCTTTAAAGAAGATTTTGAGCTTTGTACCTTTTGGAAGAGAAATCCCTTGGCCCTAGCATATTGTCTCTGGAGAGTAAAATGTCCTTTAGACATAGAGCAACCTAGGAAAGCTGTGATAGGCTATCTACCAACAGCTGTAAAAAGTTGGGAGTCTTACAGATAACACTGCCCTCTGAATTTCCGTGGCTAAGCTAGCTGCACTATGCTCTGTTTCTCTTTTTTTAAAAAAAAAAAAAAAGTATTCTGAAAAGTTTATTAGACAAGTCAGGCAGTTAAAGTCATCCTTGTGGTCATAATAAATAGCATTAGTTCTATAAACTCACAAATAAAAATGTGTCAGCCATCTCTAGGAACAGTTTTTGAATATTCTTGTGTAATTTGGGTATTATTTTGACTGGTCTATACAGCAGATAAATGACAGGCTAATTCTAGTAGCAGACTCCATTTTAAACAGTGTCTCTTCTCAAACTGAATTGACTCTAGGTATCCCTATTATATGCTTTCGTGCATCGGTATTGAATGGAAACCACTAACCTGGCTCCGTTACACCAGCTGGATCCCTCTCTACCCTTTGGGATCCTTGGCAGAGGGTATGTCCAAGAAAGAGTTTAATAATTGGAGAGGTTAAAGCTGTGCAAATAACGCAGTTTTTGGTTTGTGTGGACTGAAAACAATAGAACAACAGATAAACAGAAATTTGCTTTGAGCTGAACTAAATGTAAGTGTTTCTGTCTTCCTTGCTGAATGAGACTTATCTTTTCAGTTTGACGTGAACAGAGGTCTTCCTTTTGGGGGGCACTGGGGAGGAAAGTAAAGGCAACACAAGGTTAGCTGAACAGAGTCACCAAGCGTGGGCTGCGTGCCACACCAGGGGCACGGGAAGGCAGTGTTTGCTTTTTTGTACTAGACCTGAATCGGTCAGTCTAGCTTGGGTTCACACCAGCTCACAGATCTGTACGTTATCTTGTAAATGGTTGATTGGGACGGGCAGGAGCAGATTATTCCTCTGAAAGCAGCGCAGCCTGTTCTGAGACAGGCGCGGCGCTTGCCGGGTAGGGCTCTGTTCCCTTCCTGCTTGGAGAGCGGCTGCTCTGTGGAAGAAGCACGCCCCTAGTCTGCTTGCTGTACCTCCTCCAGATTTATTTATTTATTTATTTATTTATTAAGAAACATATCCCTGCCTAGCTTCTAGGTGTAAGAAATCTGTTTTAATCATACCTGTCAGAACCTGCTCTGGGAGCCAGGAGTAGGCTTGTGCATTGCCCAACTCCAAGCACTGGAAGGACAGTGCCTGTTTCATTGCTGTGGGTCTTTCTACATGGTAAATATTGCTGGCATAGGCCCTGCAAGCACGATAGTCGTGTATGAGAACAGTGTCTCACGCAGGCAAGCTTACTGTGCTTAAGATTTCTATAGCTAAACTGCTATGCTACCTGAGCTAGCTGCTTTCCATCATACTGCATGTTTACAGCTTAAAAAATGGTTCACGTGTAGTGAATATAGTTAACGAGAGCTAGAAAATAAGGGAACATCGTGAAAAAGTTGGTGTGGGCTGGGCAAGTGTGTATTTTACCTGTGTTTTATAATCACGGTGGCCTTCTGCTTTCAGCTGTCTGTATCGTTCAATCCATTCCAATCTTCAGTGAAACAGGGAAATTCAGTCTGGCGTTGCCAAATCCACTGAACGTCACAATCCAGTTTTCATTCTTGCTTCAAGTATACCTTATAGCCTTATTTTTAGGTAAGATATTTAATTGTATTTCTCACTATTGAAATAAAAAGGCCAGTTTCTTCTCAGTAGGCTTTTTTTTTTTCCTAAGCGATTTGAATTCCTTTGTCTCCGGGGTCATGGCAACACAAAATTGCTTGAGCTTAAGCTGTTTGTATCCTTGTTGCTTGTTTATGTAAATTTGCCAGGGGTAGAAGGGAATACAAATAAAATCAGAATTGGTTAACTCCCAAGTAGGAGACCTTGGTAAGGAGTTAGCATCATTATCTACAGATCACTTAGGTTAAAAGAATAATTGTTTATATGTATTTATAGCCTCTGCGTACTCAGTTCTCCTCTTTACATGGTACTTGAGCTTCAGAATCATTTAGCTGAAATCTAAATATAGTTCCAAATTAAAGCTATGTTTAACTGGAACTACATTATAAGCGCTAATACAACATGAAGACATATTTCGCCAGGAAACAGTATAGGCGGCTTTTTAAATAGCAGTACATTTAAAGAAGAATGATGCTTCATTGATTGACTTTCGATTTCTTGTGTTCTTGTATTTCTCAACATAAGGTAACGTTTGACTATGCATACCCATCACAGAAATTGCTTAAAGAATAAATTAAATTGTAATTCATTCTCAAGTACCTGTCGCATCTTCTCCCGTGTCTGCACAGCTGGTGTTGCAACTTTAAAAGTGACAAAGCAACCTTCTGAGCAGCCCCACAGTACCAAACAACCTGAGCAGCAACTCCAGCCTCACCTAGCAAGAAAATACTTGCGTTAGCTTTCAAAGCTCTACCTACCCTTAAACTATTGGGGAGGGGGCGAGGGGGTTGCTATTGCTTGCCCTGCGTATTTCCTGAATTTTAATCTGGTACAGCCATCTAGCATAAATAACATGCAATAACGTCCTACCTAAATACTTCATTATTTTTCAGGGCTATTTGTAAACTTCCGTCATCTCTACAAGCAAAGGAGAAAGCACCTTGGACCAAAGAAGAGAAAGGTGAAGTAAAGGAAGACTGCACTGCTTTCTTATCTAAATTATCTCAGTGCTAAGACAAGCCTCTAATTCTTCTTATGGTTTTACCCACTGCAATGTAAAGAATTTTGTAAAGTTAAATCATATTAGATTTCATAGTGAATTCGGGTAACGTTCCCATATACTATATTTTGTTCCGTCTCAATCATACGTATGCATGGCATTTATCATTGAACAGAAACATTTAAACTTGTATCCCATCAACTACCATATTAGCAAGAAATCCTATTATCTGCATATAATATGCTTATAAGCAGTGGAGCAGCACTAAATAGAAATAGTGTTTATCTTTTAATTGGATATTTGCTCTTTCAATATTGCATGCAGATAGGGCTTCTGATGTTGGGATATAGTATTAGCTGGCCCATGCTGTTCCTAGGGTGCCATCGCGATGGCAGGAGGAGCAGGGTCTGAGACCACTACGAACAGTGTTTGGGTGCTTATTAATGGTTGGGATAAATCTGCTCTACTCCCCTCCCTCTCTTTCTGAAGCATGCTGCTGCTAAATTTAAACTGGAAGTACTGATGACAGATTACATGCTACTAACTTGCTCTGTTTCTAGTTTAGTCTTAACGGAATAGGAGCACTATGTGGACCCCAGCAACACCTGTTTAGCAGGATAAATCCTACCCAGGCATTAGGGAAAGGAAGCTGCCACCCTGTCACACGGCCAGCAATGCTTTCCTCATTGATAATGCAAGCACTGAAATATAGCAAGACAAGAAAAGAATACATGGGTATGAGCTTACTCTTAGCATGTAAACCCCAGCAGAACTCTGTCCACTGATGCAGAGGGAAAAACATCTCATGAGAGTGGGAGACGCACACAAACCTGGAACTGTCCCAGGAGGGTGGGCCCCTCTGCTCCTTTCAGTCAGGGCTGAAGCTCCTGTATTTATAGCCTTCTGACAGGCAGTAAGGATTGTTTTTCTACTGCTTAAATTTAGGAGCGTAGCTGAGAAATTGGCATATATGCTTTGTTAGACAGCCCTGGTGAATGGAGTGGTGGGTCTAATAAACCATGGATTATTTTGATACCTTGTACCAAATCTTAGCAAGGGAGATCCCCCTCAGGGCTTGAAGGGACCCTTTTCCCTCTGTTTGCTGTAAACCACCAAAAAAAAAAAAGGAGAGGAAATCCCCACCCCCATGTTCTAGGTCATCTGTTCTCCTATGTGGAAACATTTGTTTCAGTTGGTTTCATTTCCAGATGTGCTTCCTCACACCTAGCTTCCCCTAGTTGATTCCAGAGCCCTCTTGCCTCCTTAATCCAGTTTAGAAAAAGTACAATAAGCTTGTTCTAAAACAATGTTGTGAAGGAACAGGCTGCATCGTGACTGCCATTGCCCCCTGGGCAATGCAAAGCAATGCCAGCAACCCAGAACAGGCACTGAAGCCGAGATTAGCTTAGTGCCATCTCACTGTTTTGAGTTACTTTTTTTCTACTGTAAAACAAGATGAATCCTATAGAAAATTAAGTATTTTCGATGCTTAAACATAACAAACAGCTTGCTTACTACTTGGGACCTGGCCCCAGTGATTGTTACTGTGAAGATAGAGCAATTGCGCTATAATGAGATTTTTAACAAAGAACTGCTACAAGCTGCACACTGCATTTCACAAATGTGTTTTTGTCAACAAGTGGCATGATGCAGTTGCTTTTTGGAGACCTCACTCAAGGGCTTACTGTCAAAGGAGAGTGCAGATAGGTTCACTCAGAGTTGAGCATTACTCAAACACTGTTTCCCCACAGTGCACACTGTACTTACGTATGTTTGGCGTGTGTCAAGGGACCAAATAGTTGAGCATTGGAATAGCAGGGATCACTTTCATACGTTAATTAATTTCTCCACTGGGCATTTAAACTTATGTCATAAAATCTGTATGTACTCATACGTGATACTTCTCAGTGAAATTGTGGTACCTGGTGCAAGCTGTCATGGATCTTACACTACTGAGTTCATTAGTCCTTCAGAAAGAATGTGTATTTCTATTAATAAAGATTTACAACCAAATTTTGTTTCAGTTTAGTTGTTTATACAACTGCCTATACGAAGGGAAAGAACAATTCAGCTGTCATGATAAACTGCTGGGACTCAGCCTTCACTGGGTAAAATTTTAGGCCTGTGACATTAAGCACGCACACAGCAAAGTTGCCAAGAAAAGGGAATCAAAACTAAATTTTCACGAGGAATTATTCTTTAATATTACACAAATTAAAAAAAAAACCTGCCTTCTCAAAAGATTAAGTTACTTCCACAAGCATAAGCACTGCAATGCAAGTGCTAACGTTCATTACTCAGTACAGACTAGCTTTCAAGTCAGGCATACAAACAGTGATGGACACCCTGAAGTTATCTGCGCATCTCATGTTGCACAGTGATTCTCACATGTTCTTTGGACAATTCAAATCCATGTGTAAAATAGTAGTAGCTGCCTTTTTGGACACTTTTTTTACCAGTGAGTTCAGTCATTTAGTAACTGTGTTTCAGGGAGGCCAAAAGCCACAAGCAGTATTTTCTTTCTCTTTCCTCACATGTACTAGATAACTTCCTCCCATCATCCAACACCATATTTGACTTTGGGACACTTAAAAGCACAGTTTCCAGGTCTGACTAAAGCCACCACAAATTTGCTGTGTTTATCCAGAGAGCGCTGATGCAAGTAAGTAAGTGACCTTGTTTGCATAGGAAGGATTCCAAACTGTCATTAAACAGGTCCCAGAAAGTAAAGAGGACAAGAAAATTTGAACCACTTGAGTCTTCATTTATAAATGTTCCCAAAATGGAGACTTCACATTCTTTCAGTGCTGCTACCAGAAAAGTCTGTCTGCAGTGGAGCAATGTTATGATCATAGGCAGCGTATTCTGACGCCCCAGTACTTGCCACTTTCAGCTGCTGAGCAGCATGCGTGAGCTGAAACGCTGCATCAGGATGAGCCGTGTCAGGAAGGAGGGTGCACTCCCGCTCTAGCATGTCTGCCACACCTTTCAAGAGGTCCAAAAAGCCAAAGGCCAGAGCTGCCTTTCGTAAACGGTTAAGTTCCTGCAAGGAAGGAAAACTCATTTTAAAGTCACTGTGAGGCTTTACATAAACCTTTATTTATTTATTTATTTATTTATTTAAACGCAAACTTGTTCACTTACGGAAAAATAACTTTAGCTATCTGTAGAGCTGCTGGAAACTGCTCATGAGCTGAAAATGCTTCAGGGCAGAGCAAAATACAGTAATATTACAGTGACATAGCTAAACAGTCCTGCTTTTCCCTTGCTCCCTTCCCGGAGACCCTCCAACTCTCCCTTTTCCCTTGTGTGCATTCAGCTCTGTGCCTGCCTATTCTGCCAGCTGGGGGTAGCCTCCAACTTGGACTTCATTAACTGCTGACTTTAACCACAGTGTCCAGCGAAATTTATATGTATTCATTTTTCTTCACTATAAACTTATGACAATGTGCATTTTGACAACAAATTCATTCTTGAAGTCTCTGGGGGTGACAATAATAAACTGCTTCAGTACTAAACTTACAAGAGGAACAACAATTACCTCCAGCTACAGTCTAGATTATGGAGTGTTGATGTGGCTGAATGTGCTTGGAATTTTGTCTTTCTCTGCTCCACTGGTAGGAAAGAAATAGGAGACAGTTTCAGGGCAACGTTTCTGACACAGAATGACACCTGTGTCCTCATGCTGATCTGATCCCTCAGTTTATTTCTGCCTGGACAACAGCATAAAATGGACAAACAAATTCACCACAGTTGTAGCAGGGATCGTGAAGGATACCTGTAAACCTGACACTTCTTTGCCACCTTGCCACAGAATATGACGGTGGGAAACCAGACCCCCCTGCCTCACCTTAACTAGTCTGTAAAATGGACCATTCAGGCACTTCCTTCCTTACATAACAACGTGTGCTTTTGCAAAGCCCTACAAGCCCTGCACAGAACGTCCTTCCGAAAGAGACAATATGTGCTCCTCTGTCAGATGCACCACTGTCACTATGGATCCAACTTGCACTCGTCTCTAACATCTTACTTTATAGAATGTTTGAGTTTTCTCAGGGAGCTTCCTTGCATTTCTCAAGATCTTCTGTACATCTGTCTGCAGAAAAGAAAAAAAAGATATTGGCAACTGTTGGGGAATCTGCAGAAAAGAATCCTCAACTACTTATTGATAAACAATCCTGATCATTGACAAGACTGCAGCTTGTGGAAGCTAAAACATAAAACAGTAATTACACTAAATCCAATAAACTAAGCCAGATGCTACACTAGAGACATAGCCTTCATTAAACAAACTACGCTTTCTGGTTGCGTTTTAATCACGACACTTTAAAGAGGCAGCATTTATAAAAATGACAGAAAAGCAATTACATTAAGTGGACAAGACAGACGCAGGCTCCACTTTACTGGTGAGACAGACACTACTGAGTAAAGCACCCAGTCCAAAGCCTGCATCATTACCTGGAGCCCACTTGGTTTAATCCATACAGTAACATTCTGTGCATAACTGCGCTTGTTTTTGGGCTGCAAGGGGAAAGGGCTCTTATTGTCATCCTCTCCATAAGGATTTTCTTTTGCATCTGGGAGGGGAGGAAAAGAAACTTAATAAATAAGACCTGGCAAGGTCATTCATGCAAGAAAACAGTGAATGCACAACAGGCTTTCAAATGAGTGTTGCTGGTACCTGAAATAGGTCCAAGCTGTGCCATCTTCCCCAGCCATGGAAGGGGCTCTGGACCAGGTTCAAAGAGTGACATCATGAGGTTTGATTTCTTCTTGCTATCAGCTTGCGAATAGAGCATTCCGTACCACTCTGGCCTATTGAAAAAAGCAGATCCCAAAGGCTGAAAACTGTCTACGCCTCTTTGTCTTGAATTTGCCTCTCTCTCACTGCGAGGAGGCTCTCGTTTTCATTATTTGCAATTTATACAGGCAGATACATATTAAAAATCCACAGCTTTGTCCAGCAATGCAGAGTCCTGTACGGACTAAAGCTTGAATCAGCAAAGGAAAGGGAATTTTTTCAGGCTGGGATCCAGCTCCATACCCCAACTGGACGACAGCCACCATGCCCTCCACTTTCAGGCTCCCATGTAACAAAACACAGAAGTTGGGGATTTTCCCGGCAATCTGATTAGCTGAATTTTCATCTTCAGTGTCATCCGTTATCCCAGGTCCCACCTCATCACCTTCTGGAGAAGAAAAGAAAACAAAGGGGCAGCACGGGAATAAATTCAAACGCACTATTTCTATTTCCGTCACACTTATCACCTTGTGTCTTCTGCAATGCAAGTTTCCAACACAAAGCAGCGTTCTGCCAAGCAACTTTTTTCATGCTTGTCTGTTTTCCTTCCTTCTGGAAAGGCTGGGGATCTCCCAAAGACCATGCTGTTATGAGGGCTGGTGGTATTTTCATATTACACTTTCTGAACACAACCACCAGCTTTTCTCACAGCGGCAAGGGCTGAAGAGACTACTGTCTCCCAGTCTCCCAGCCACCTCGCGGCAGGTCTCCTCTGATCTGCTCACTGAGTGTTTTGTACAACTACTCCCTAGCCCGCACCAGTCGAAATGAGTTCGGTTAACAGAGACCCACTACTTAATTTGTTTAAACTAATCCAACTCATTTTCCGTGAGCAAGCAAATCTGAAGGGGGAGGTAATCTCACACGAGGGAGCAATAAAAGGCAGCCCCAGAAGTGGCAGTGAGCAGCAAACCCTTCAGCTGCAGCCAGATAAGGCTGGAGCATAACAGCCCTGTTAGACAAGCCAAGCTTCAGGTAATCCTCCTGTAGAGGGAACAGCTGCTAAATGAACTGCTGGGGCAAAGTGGCACTCTAAGGTTACAGAATCGTTCTACTGCACCCTATTCACAAAACTTCACAGAGTTATCCACAGTGCAAAAAGCCCCCCAGCTTTGAAGAAACTAGAAGTGAAACAAAAAGGCACCAATATTCTGGCAATGACCACATGGCTGCGTCTAAACCAAAAGCATTCTGAATGTCAAGTCCTTTCCTCGCAGGTTCCTACGCACTTTGTCATCATTATGATAAACTTAGTATGTTTTAGCAGCTGGAATGCAGCTGTGATTTAACTGTCAATATTTTCTAAGGTGAAAGGCCTAGCAGGATAACAGTGCTAATACAGAGAGGAAAACACTTCTGGCACTTTCAGTCTTCTTCATCAAGAGATCTCTCACTTTCTCTTTGTGCCACTCCAAAGCCATGACAAAAGGAAGGGGAAGTCCTCCTTGATACATGCTGAGGCACACAAGGAGATGCAAGTCAAGAACGTGTTCACCCATCCTCAAAGCCTAGAGCAGTTGACTTAGGTAGATAGCTACATATACACCTGGTCCCAACGAGCAGCAACTAATGCTCACGTACAACTGAGCAACCTAGTTGTTATTAACACCAGATTTTTTACAACAGCAAATCATTCCAAGAAATAAATTAGAGGCATGCATTAAGTATTGGTCTTGCACTGCATATTGCCTGGCCTATAACTATTTTTAGCTCCAAGTTTAACATGTTCTGTTAATAAACATGCTATAAGGACACTGTTTCCTCTTATTATTTCACTGTTGTCTGTACAGACGAACTTTTAAAAGAACACGTTAATCCGGTAAAAAGTAAGTAAAGAGCTTGCGTTCAAGGTTTTGATTTTCATGTAACTATGCAAACACGTCTTTAGAGATACATGACCTTTAAAAGAAGCACAAAACCTTTGCTTCTAATCTAAACCACCACAGCCATTGGAGGGAAAGCTTAAAGCAGCATTTGCTACAAGGAACAAAAGTTGCTCACCTCTGTTAAGCGCAATGGGCAACACCAAGTGTCTGGATAAGACAGGAGGGCTAGAAATGTCAGCTATATCTACAAAACCAACAATTTCTAGATCTGTAGGGAGACAAGAGGTTTAAGTCAGATTTCGAAATAGCTGAAACATATTCAGAGTCAATTTAACATTACCACTTCTTACACCACTCTTAAGTTCTCTGAAGCCATGACT